GCCATCGAGCTAACCTGCTACCAGGGTCTTTAATTGAAAAGAGCCAGGTCAGGGGGCGATGATCTGTAACCAATTTAAATTTGTGTCCGAAAAGATATGGGCGGAAGTGCTTTACTGCCCATACAATTGCCAAAAGTTCTCTCTCTATCGTAGAGTACTTTGTTTCGGCTGCACACAAGGTTCTTGATGCATAAGCAATCGGAAGATCTTTTCCTATTGGTCCTTGAGATAGGACTGCGCCTATCGCGAATGCACTAGCGTCGGTTGTTAGAAGAAAAGGTTCGTCAAAATTTGGGTATATTAGTATTGGAGATGTAGTGAGTGCTTCTTTAAGTGTTTCGAAAGAGTTTATACAGTCTGCATTGAAATTGAAAGGGATGTCTTTTTGTAAAAGTCTTGTCAAGGGTTTTGAAGTCTTTGCGAAATTTGGGATGAATCGCCTATAGTAGCCGGAAAGGCCAAGGAAAGATTTGATGTCTTTCGGATTTTTGGGTTGAGGAAAATTTCTTATACACTCGACATTAGAGGGGTTTGGTTTCACGCCATCTTGGGTGATGAGATGTCCTAAATATGCAACTTCCTTGCGAAGGAACTCACATTTGTCGGGTTGTATTTTTAGGTTTGCTTTCCGTAAACGTTTGAAAACTTCTGTAATCCGGGCGATATGTTCATGAATAGTAGGAGAATAGACGATAATATCGTTCATGTAGACAAGGCAACGTTCATTCTGAATTCCCATTAAGATGTTGTCCATTACGCGTTGAAAGGTGGAAGGGGCGTTCTTCAATCCAAATGGCATACGAACGAATTCATAATGCCCATTTTCCACAGAAAATGCGGTTTCCTGGATATCTTTGGGATCAATCTCAATTTGGTGGAATCCGGAAGCCAAATCGAGGGTGGTGAAATATTGGCACTTGCCTAATTGGTCGAGAAGATCGGAGATGTTCGGAAGTGGGTACTTGTCGTCGATAGTCACTTCATTCAATTTTCGGTAGTCGATGACTACTCGCCACTTCTGTTTACCAGAAGCATCAAGCTTCTTTGGTACGACCCAAACGGGGGATGACCATGGTGAAACTGAAGGCTGAATGATACCTTGATTGAGCATTTTCGATATTTGTGTCTTTACCTCTTCTTTATGTACTTGAGGGTACCGATAAGATTTGGTAAATGTAGGTCTACTGTCTTTTGTATCGATAGGGTGTTTAATTTCGTTTGTAAACGTCAGGTTGTCACCTTCAAGAAAGAAAATGTCCGAGAAATCTAAACAAAGTTCTGTTATGAGATCTTGTTCTTCTTCGTTGAGATGATCGAGACGTAGTTGATTTTTAATTTCGAATTGTCGGTCAATTGGTACATCTGTATCTGATACTTGCATAGCCAAGTTATTTACTGAGAAATCCTGAAATGGTTCTAACACAAGATCGGAAAAATCTACTGTTTTTGGAATAGCATTAACGTTCAAAACTGAAGTTAGAAATTCTCCATTTTCGTCAATTTTGACAATCGAATTTGGTATTTTGACTTTTTCGATTTCCTGACCTATCAGTATAGCGTCGGTATTTAAAAAGTTGCATTTCAACTTGAACACTTGTTCGGTTCGAGGTTCGATGTTTATTTTATTATGATATTCTCTAGAGGGTGGTGTATCAACTGAAGGTTGAGTATTTTCGTCGTCGGTTACTTTAAAAAGAGGGACAGTTTTGAAGTCAGTAATCAGTTTTTTATTTTTGAGGTCTACTATGCAATTATAATGTTCTAGAAAATCAGAGCCAAGGAGTCCGTCAAATTCTATATCTAAGTTGTGAATGTAAATTTTATGTGGGTCTTCGGGTTTGAATGGAATTAAAGTTGATTCGTTTATAATTATTTTCTGATCGGTTATGCCTTGAATAGAAATATTTTCTGGAGAACGTTTCCGGTATTTTTCGCAAGTCTTTGGTTTAAAAATCGAAAGTCCTGCACCAGTATCTATTAGAATTTTGAAGGTATTAGTGATGTCTTTGATGTAATATAAGTTTTTCGAATTAACAGGCAATAGAGGTTTTAAATGAACCGTTGTTCCGGGAAATTCACATTCGGATCGAAACTGTCTAGGTTCATTGTTTGGATTTGGGCTTGAAGTTCGTCCATAGTACTCTGTTGTGGTTTGTTCGGTGGGTCGCCAGGATTCAGCCCTGACTGAAAATCCTGAATATCCGAATTTTGGGGTAGATTGTCATAGTCCGGGTACTGTGTCGAAAATTGATCATATTCAAATTGTCTTTCAGCGGTATGATAATCAAATTGTTGGATTCTGCTATCAGCAGTATGATAGACTTGATCGTAATTTTCTGTTTCACTAGCTGTATAGTGATCATCTTGATAAAAATCATTCTCATAATATTGGTCATATTGTTGGTAATTCAAATGGTGTGTCTGTTGATTATTTGGTCTGTTAAAATTTGGATTCGATTGAATGGTAGGTTGTCTTTGATTGTTGAAGTTCGGGTTAGGTCTTATGATTGATGGTCGGTTTTGTTGAAATTGATTGGGTGGTTGATATTGATTGAATTGAGGAGGTCGCTGTACTGGATTTGGGGTTTGGAATGGTCTTGAAGGCCCAGCTTGATTGAAATTTTGTTGGTTTGGTCTTGGAGGGTATTGTGGTCTATTTTGGGAATTCTGTTTTGCGCGGCATTCATGAATCAAATGTCCGGTACGTCCACAATATGAACATTGTTTTATTTGTTGAGATGAAATCGGTTTGCGAACAGAAACTGCATTCGGATTTCGATAGCTTTGTGAGTTAGGCAATTTTTGATTTTCGAAATAACTCAACTGCATTTCTCGTCTGATACGAGTAATTGCGGTTAACATATCAGTTGGGGTGCCTGCTCGAATTATTTGACCAAGTTTTGGATCTAATCCAGTCAACAGGGTGTTCAAACTCATAGTTTCTATAAGCCTGGACTGCGCGCCTCTTTGGTCTGGTGGCAAAATTTGTTTATTTACAGCGGCGTGCATTTTGGCATTATGCGTTTGCAATCGTTGAACGAATGTCATTGCATTTTCGCCGGGAAGTTGACGAAGTCTTTGGAGATCTTGAATTAATGAAGTCAAGTCTCTGGAATCGCCAAAGTGGGTATCTAAAAGATGTCTAACTTCTTCCCAAGTGAGTGGGTTTCTCGAATTCACTAGCTCTGCAGCACGTCCACGTAATTTATTTTTTATGTGAAGTGTTACTAGTAGTCGTTGTTCGTCGACTGCCATTCTGTAAGCGGTATTACAGGCTTGTAAAAAGGTGGTTAAAAATATTGGATTGCCATCATATTCCGGTATGATGGAAAATATTTCATTGAGTCTGTATGGCTCAATTTCTGCAGGTGCTCGTGGTGGTGCCACGTTTACGTTATCGTCATTCATTGCAATTGGTTTTTTGTTGAAATATGACAAAAAAGGGGAAACAATTGGATAATGGAACAGTTACTTGGTTGTTTCAAATTTGAAATGCGGTACGATTCAATATAGTACTTACAGGATCAGTATCATTGAGTTCGTCGTGTTCTCGTCGATTCTGCCAGGGGCTTCACCAGGTGTTCCTTCCACAGCTCTTCGAGTGATGACTCCCTCAGGTTGGTTCTTTGATTTCGGCAAAGGATTGGGATCCACCGTCACTAGTTAGGTCGTTTCCGTGTTCTAGCAACGTCACGAAATCCGTACGACTGCGCCAATTTGTTATCTCGTGGTTTTCGAAATAGACTTTTTTAAAACAATTTTATTTATTCCGGCATAGATTAAGTTTATACAATGAGCTTTATTTCAAGACTGACTTTTTGATACAATATAAAATGAATTTATATTAAAAATAATGCTGATGCCAGCGTCAGCAGATATTATATTCCATTTCTGCGGATGCTGACTTCAAGGTCAAGATCATGTTCTGAGGAATTGTTATCGCTGGTAAGTTGATACTACTGAGAACAATGGGAACTGATTTTAGCATATAACATATATACACTGAAACAGTACTGCTACTGATTACGCAAAAGTGTTCTACCCCACTAACAGTGGTATAGTCTTTAGGAATGTTCTTCAACGAATTTTCAAATTAACGAAATTCATAGATTGGAATTATTGAAACTTTATCGAAGACTAAAACCCGACTAAAACCTTTGGCAAGATAATCTCACAACACTGTTTCAACCTTTGGAAATCCATGTTAACTAGGAATAGAATATGTGTCCTTCAATGATCTCTGATCATTTTAACAAGACTTGTGGAGATGACTTTGGGATTTTCATCTATGAACTGTTTCAACACTTACAAAACCGACTTCTTAACTCAATAACTTATCCTAGAATGCTGCTTATACATTTACTAGTAATGGTCACCTAAGGATGAATGACACTATAACTCTGCGCAGTGTAATAGATCCTTATTCTTCCATTTTAATATTTTTATTACTAGTCTCAACTATTTCCAGGCTATCTATTTGCATCTTTTTTTTCCAAATTATCAACGTGTTTCACCAATTTGGGGTTTTTGATGTTTGTGTTATGATTCTGATTACACATAATATATGTTCAGCTACACTCGATTTAAATACTGTCTGAGATTCAATTGGAGAGGTATTCGTTGAACCTTGCTTTCATGAGTTGCCTAGTTTGACCTATTTATGTTTTTCACCAATCATCAAAAAAAAATTTTTGAATTCTTGACTTTTCAACTTTGCCCACTTCATCTTACGGAATGCCTAAGTAATTACCAAGATTTCATCCAGACGGATACACTATTTCAAAACCTGAGTTTCTTTGAGAAAATTCGGTTCGGTTGGTGCTCAAGCAGTCTAGTGTGATTATTGAAACTCATTTGAATTCTAGTTTTAGATATGAAACAGATGACAACGTAAAAAAATCCGCAAGCCAAGTGTGTTTGTCTTCTTTACCCAACGTCATCTGTTCCACTAGGGATATTCCATTCGATACGACTAGCAGTGATGCATTGTTTATACTTACTCTGATCAGGTGATGCTTCCTAGTGATGGTCGGAATCCTGAACACCCTGCACCAGTGGATGCTATCTCCAGGAGCGGGAGGCTCAACTGTCGGATTCCTGAGCTCCCACACTCTGGCGGTCTCTTCCGGTGCTGGAGCCAGTTGGTCGGCTCTTTGGACGAGGTAGAGCGACTGGCTGCCCCTGTTGGGATTCTCGTGTTGCGGGAGCGAGTTGGGGCCCACAGCACCCCCAACAGGCTCGTGCTTGTGAAATGCCCATATGATGCGCATGGTATCATTCTGGAACAAATGAAAATCTTATAGAATCTCATGAAAGCTCATACAGTCTATTGAAATTCAATAAAAGCTCATACAGTCTTATAGAATCTTTTGAAAACTCATACAATCTCATGGAATCTCATGAAACCACATGCCTACTATATCTCAGGTACTCTTGTTAAAGCTCATACAATCTTATATAATCTTATGAAAGCTTATATAAAATCCTATGGAATCTTATGAAAGATAGCGAAGGCTTTTGATCTTGTTGACCATAGAATTCTTATCAAACGACTTAGCAATCTAGGTTTTTCAAAGGAGGCATGTGGATTTTTTTCAATGTATCTCTCTGATCGTTCACACCAAGTCAAAGTTGGGAGTGCCTACTCTGAATCTTTCTTTCCAACCTCTGGAGTGCCGCAGGGGAGTACTGTTGGCCCCCTTCTCTTTATTATTTTTATCAATACCCTACCTGAGTGCATACAATATTCATCTGGACTCATCTTCGCCGACGATTTCAAAATTTTCAAGCAAATTTCTACATATTCAGACTGCCTCCTACTACAAGAGGATCTCAACGCGGTATCTAACTGGTTCGTACAAAACAAAATGCGCCTTAACACGGATAAATGCTTCACGGTGACGTACTCCAGAAAATCAATTTCACATAACTTCGACTATGTTATGAATGACAATATTTTACAACGTCGACAAGAAATTAAAGACCTCGGGGTCTATATGCAGAGCAATTTAAAATTCACAACGCATTATGACTTTATTGTTAATAAAGCATATAAAAAACTGGGCTTTATTATACGCAATTCCAGAAACTTTGAGAGCATCAGCACACTAATCAAACTCTATAACGCCCTAGTGAGACCACACCTTGAATATGCAGCAATAATATGGTCACCCATGGCTTACTGTCACAAGGAACGTATAGAACGTATTCAAAAAAAATTTCTACGCTTTATATATGTTAAAGAAAACAATATTTACCCCTACCACGTTTCTTATCAAAGCATGCTGGACTCGTATGAATTTCAAAAACTCTGTGATAGAAGGAAACAACAATCTGTGATATTTATATACTATATAATTAACAATATTAAATACCACAAATGTGCATTGATCAATTCTATAAAACTAGTTGTTCCAAAAATTAAGCTAAGACCTAAATGGGACAAATTATTTAGTATTAAGTACCCATTAGATAATCCTCTAAGCCAAATGATGATGCTCTGTAATGAGCTCTTCAAGGATACGGGTGTTGACTTCTTCAACACAAATGTGAAAGCATTGAAGACACTAACAATGTAACTTTGTAAATGTAACTTTAGTAAATGTTTGTAATTTTTGACTATCATCTCTGTACATTTTTATATTGTGATACCATTTGTAAGTGTGAATTTCTTTCATTTCTTAGTAACTTTTTTAATACTTATGCTAGTTTTAAGGTACTTTTGTAATGTCTTGCACTTTAATTACTCTACAGTGTTTTGTGAGACTTTAAATTAAATAAATAAATAAATAAATAAATAAATAAATAAATAACAAACTCCCACAGAATGTGATAGAATCTTTCAAAATCTCAGAGTATATAATAAGACCTGAATGTACGAACAACAGATCGTACATCTCAGGAGTCTGCTGTATAAAACAGCCTCAATAATAATTGAACTTGTTTTCCGCTCTTCTTGTTTTGATACTTCATCATATTAAATGATATGTTCCATTCACATATTTCGTTATCAACAACAATTTTATAACGTTAGTGAAAGCATACAGGTATGATATCGTTACGAATATGTACCGAAGATGGTAGAGAATATATCGATTACTAATAGTACTTAGATCCGACTTAGATCTTAGATAAATGAATATAATTATCTGAAAGAACCAAGGCGTTATGTTGAGCGAGTCATTTTCAAAAATTGGCAACTTCAAGACGAATTTATCGTCTTATTCTAATGATTTCAAAATGTTCGTATGTATGTTCAACGTTTGAAGTGTTAATATTCATGTAGGTAGAATGAATCCAGTGCTTGATAAGTTTTGATAAATATGTGATGAAAATCTCAGTTTTAATGATTATGTAGTAACATATTTGACAAATCACTGAGAATTTTCATAATCATACCAAAATTTATTTCACTGTATTAATTGGAATTCTCCGTTTAAAGCTACTAAAGAAGTATTGATATTTTCCTCTCATCATGTTCGCAAGGTTTGATATCGATGGTTTTTTGTTATTCATAATTTTTACTCCGTTCATCATCTATACCTATTCATATGGAATTTAAAACACAAATCCTAAATTATAAATGAACTACCTATCTCATTGATTCTGTAGTGCTATGGGTTTTTTATTTTTTTTTGTCAAAGAGCTGATAATCAATTATTTCATAATAGATACTGTAACAGTATACAAGTGTATATGAAATTCGATGCTTTGTTCACCATAAACTCTCTAGATATTACTTTTTCAATGAAACCTTAATAATCTCTGCCTGGTTTGTATTATATATCAACTGTTCCAGTACCTAGGTACATGTTTGAAAAGTATGAACAAGTATATACATAATTCCAGTTCTCTATATAGATTACTTGGGATCTTCTTTCGTCCTTTTTATCAATAAGAATATTAGTAGTACTTTAATGAACGTATGCCTATAGTGAGGACAAATCAATACAGATACTTCAGTTGGATGGATTTATTCATGATTTCATGAACGAAGATAAAGGAAACCAAAAAAAAAACAACAGAACTGAAGAATGCATTCCACGAACCATCTCTGCTACATCCCTCGAACATTTGTCTCGTTCAGCCATTCCATCCTCTCGTTCACATCATTCAGACTGAATACCAGTCGCGGTCATCGATCATAAATCATCAATAAGTAAGCAGGAAGCCGTCGGTATCAAAGAACGGAAAGCGCTCCGAAGTCCCTAAGAAATTCGACAAATATTTGTTCAGTATTCGAGCCCATAACGTAATTCTCGCTCACGTTTGATAGACGCTTGTCCCTTTTCTATTTTCGAACAAACAAGAGTAATTGGGTAAAGCCGGCTTCGGCTTATTTTAGTTGGAATCTTCTTCTAACCAGACGTACATTTCTTATTTGTTCTAGAGAGTATTGAGAGAAATTACTATGCACTCTCCGTAGAAACAAAATAGATATTTTTCTACTCCTGTAATAGGGTCACAATTAATACGCGAATATCTGCTACTGATATATTAACATTGTCCATTTTAACAGAGATTTTTATTTTGCAAGAAATTGTATACAGGGTGTTGAAAATTCGTGGCTGAGCATGGAATCTCGTCTAAATTATAGGACAAAGTTGCACCATTTCATGCTCAACAAACTGCTGCTTTGAAATGTTAGAAATTTCAATTATTTCCGGAGATATGAGGAAAAAAAAAGGAAAATGTGCAAAATAGTTTCCACCTATTACTCAGTTCATTTGAAGAAATTTTTCAAAATGAAGGTCAATTCATCGTTGCCACTTTTCCTCCTCTACAAATTGGAATTGTCAAATTGGAAATCTGACGTTTTATTTCGAGCGGCCATCATCAACTCACTTTTTTTGAATATGGACCTGGATTTTTTATTTCATTTTTCGATAGTTTTTGATCTCCTTGATAATATAATAATGTATCTAACCAATTCATGAACTGTGTACTTCAGTGAAAAAATGTGTTTTGGTATTTCTTTGTCTTTGTCTTTCTAGTACGAAGTACCTATCTCCTATATACACTGAAAAAAATTGAGTGAAATGTCATTCAAGGTCCACGCAATAATGAGTCAATTTCGGTCCACGCCCGATTGAGTTGAAATAATTGCACCCTACTCGACTGTGTAAAATGGTAATTCATGAACAGATTCAATCAAATTTTTTATAAACATTCCCATTGATATGAGAACTTGATGAAATATCTAGTTTGAGTTGAGAATTCACTCAAAAATGTCAATCAGTAAATTCACTCACAACCACATATATGCATTCACTCAGAGGAATTTTCTACAGTGTAGGAGATAGGTACTTCGCATATAATTGATATGCTTTTATTCAAAATGAATCATTAGTTCTGGTATGGCAAACCAAAACCGAACATAAAACAATTCTTTATTATTTGATGGAATAATATTCATGAATGCTGAAAGCACAATTCATTCAAACTAATAATATCCAATATGAATAAGTAATTGAATGCTTGAACGAAAAGGGAAATGTTTCTGAGCATTCATGCACACGATGAAAGGAAACTTAATGTTCGGTTTTTAATTGCATTTTCATTAAATTGTGTTTTCATGATTCATAAATATTCTTACATTAAAATAATAAACAATTTCTTTATTATCATTTTTTATATTTAGAATACGAGCGATTCAATTATAAAGGAGGTACTTCGCACTGAATAATTGAATACTAGAAACGCTGTATTAGATGAAGATGAGTACCTACCTATACCTATATCAAGGTACCTTTATGAAAATTTTTTTCATTGAAGTAAATATTTTAAGTAATGTTTTTCCACATCATCATATTATCAAGAAGATAATAAACTATCGAGAAGTGAAACCAAGAATCCAGGTCCGTATTTGAAAGAATAAAGTTAGCGATGGCCGCTCAAAGAAGAAAAGTCGGATTTTCAATTTGACAAATCGACTTTGTAGATGATGAAGTCACATTCATTTCGAGATTTCTCTTCCAATAAACTAAGGAATGAATAAAAACGATACTGCATATTTTCCATTTTTCCGGATATCTCCAAAAATAATTGAAATTTTCAATTTCAAAGCAGTATTTTGTTGAGCATAAAATTGCGCAACTTAGCTCTAATTTGACCTAATCTTAGCAACGAATTTGTAAGACCCTGTATAATGTGATCACGTATTTTTCATTCACACGAGAGCATCAGTTTTCGGAGTAAACTTCACATTTCAATGGAAATTTTGTTGCCTGAATATCAAACTTGAAAATAACGTTCGAAACAATTACAATTCCGTAGGACG